TATATATATATATGAGTGCCAGTGAGGTATGACACACAGAAATGATCATGCAGCTGTGACCTTCTGAGTGTAAGTTATTGAACGTTGATATTTCATGGTGAATGATGAGTTTCTGGGGCTTGGCCATGCCCACATTCTTTGCCACAACAAGTATGTGTCCCAGCAGCAGAGACCAGTTCCCCCAGCTGTTGTTGGTGGATGAACAGTGTTTTTACGTCAAACAAACAAGAGCAGAGTAACATTATTTATTACACCATTTTTGTCCATTTTAAGTACACTAATATTATTATTTTGTAAAAAGCAAAGGAAAAAAAAGGTTCTTAGCTGTCTTTTTTGTGTAATTAATTCAAAAAATATTTTCAGGACCCCACTGTGGGTCCCGACCCCATGTTTGGGGACCACTGGTTTAGAACCATCCTGTTACTGACAGAAGCAGAGCCTGAGTGTTACCTGAGCTAAAGGATGAGGTGTTGGTGGCAGCTGCACCTCCAGATGTACCGGACCTATGGACAGGTCAGCCCGTGCAATGGCCACGGCCTGGAACAGCCTCCTCCTGGTGATGCAGGTGTCCACCAGGAACCGAGTGAATTCATGCTGCTGAACAGGAGTCAGGTTTGGTAAAAGCTCGCTCAGCAGATCCCTCAGACGGGACGACAACTCCAGCATGTTCAAGCCTGGAGGAGAGAAAGACGACRAGGTTATTTCACTGAACTCTGTCTCAGGAGAAGCGAGGTGTGCGTCCAGCTGTGGCTCTGACCATCCAGCTGTGGGAAGAGGTTTTTGGCGAGCACTGCGGACCGGATCAGGTTGGGCCGGGAGAATCCTTGGTCTGCAGCGAACATGGCAACGTCGTACACGAACTCTTGATGAAAGCAGAGTCTCTTGTGACAGGACTCAGCCCACTGGAAGTGACGGCTGAGCATCTGAACACCAGCATCCCTCTGAAAACAGAAAATATCTACACTGGTTCATGAGATATTTTGCTAACAGACAGCTTGAACAGACACAAAGCAGACTCCACCTTTTATGTTTGATTTATACGCTTTAAGAAGACATTTTAAGGTTTAGACTGATGAAATAAAATCATCAGATACATMTTTTTTTTAATGTCCACCCACCTCAAGTCTCATAATCTGTGTTATTTCACTGTCTGTGAGAGAATTCATCCTTGAAAAGCGGTTGTTTTCTGGGTTGCTCGTGGAGACGGACGCCGAAAGAAAATATATGGCAGGCCATTGTAACATATAATCAAACACCGACCTTGAAAAACTTCTTTTATAAATCAATAGCATTCACTCGTCATTTTAAATTAACGTCGGTGTTATTTTTAAGCATTACAAAAAATATACCTAAAAT